TATCCTAAAGCGTATCTGGGCCAGTTTTGGCAAAGATATGGCACAGTGAACACTGGCTAATGTGGCTGTGAGCCTAAAGTGGCCCATATATGATGCCACAAATGTAGCCCAGTTATCCTAAACCGTATCTGGGCCAGTTTTGGCAAAGATATGGCACGGTAAGCACTGGCTAATGTGGCTGTGAGCTTAAAGTGCCCCTTATCTGATGCCATAAATGTTGCCCAGGTATATTAAAACATATCTGGGCCAGTTTTGGCAAAGATATAGCACAGTGAGCATTGGCTAATGTGGCTGTGAGCCTAAAGTGGCCCTTATATGATGTTCCCAGGTATATTAAAACATATCTGGGCCAGTTTTGGCAAAGATATAGCACAGTGAGCATTGGCTAATGTGGCTGTGAGCCTAAAGTGGCCCTTATATGATGTTGCAAATGTGGCCCAGTTATCCTCAAACATATTTGGGCCAGTTTTGGCAAAGATATAGCACAGTGAGCATTGGCTAATGTGGCTGTGAGCTTAAAGTGGCCCGCATATGATGCCACAAATGTGGCACAGTTATCCTAAACTGTATCTGGGCCAATTTTGGCAAAGATATGGCAAAGTGAGCCCTGGCTAATGTGGCTGTGAGCTTAAAGTGGCCCTTATATGATGCCGTTAATGTGGCCCGCATATAAAATGATAAATATTGCCCAAATAATTAATAACAATTTGGGCCACTTTTGGCAAATATACGGCACAGTCAGCATTGGCTAATCAGTGTGTAAGCCAACATTTGACATGGCAAATATGCCCCATATGTTATAAAACAGATGAGGACCACTTCTGGTTGTAACACTTGACAAGTGAGGCCACTTCTTGGATGTAACACTTGACACTGGCTAATTGAAACGGAAGCTTGAAATTGTAAATATGGCCTAATAGAATTTGGCTACTTTTAGTAGGATGCAACACAGTTAACTGATGCAGGGTGATCTGGATGTGAGTCTTAAGAAGGCTACATATGCAGCAATTTACTTTTTGAAACATGCTTTTAATGGCAGGTTTTTTATATATGTACTGTGCAGCATAAAAACAGAAGTGCACTATAATGATTGTAATCTTACAGTCACGGATTCTGTTAATTTGGACTTTGTTTTCCTTTTGCACCGTTTCTTTTGTGTTCCCTCAACTGTTGTGTTGATTGTATTGTTCTGTTCAGGTGTGCCTGACACTCACAGACTTACTGTGTAGGTAGAGTCTGAGTGAGAAGCATGTAAGTTCAAACTTGTGAAGACCAGTTTTTAAAGTGTTGGAATGTGTCTTTGAATATCTGTGACATTTTAATTGCTGCTTGTGCAAAACTTGGGTCGGGATGATTTTATCAAGTAGGACACATTTCTGGAACTTATTTGAACGTTTATGGAGGACATTTTTTAATGTCTCTTTACAATGTTGAGTATTGTTGATGCATAACTCACTTAAGGCTTAGTGTGGCCCAGATAATGTATATTTATGGTTTATTTAGTTCATTATTAGCTCAAATGTGGCTGTGTAGTGGCCTGCTTGTGGACCACTGCCAAAATGCCACCA